ATGTATTAACTATGCTTTTTAACTACTCTAAAAACAATCTTTATTTTTGTGTAAGCCTTACTCTGCTCTTAAACATGAGCACTGCAACTGTGATAACACTGCAGCATCCTAAAAATTCCAGTCTAAGCTTCTATGCATACTGTCTCAAAGGTAGACTTGAAGTTAATATATTCAATGCATAAGAAAACAGATTTTAACCTGTTGGCTTTCCCTTCACTCTCATAAACATTAGCAGTAAGAGTCCTTCAGGCCACATTATCTCTCCCCATGCGACTTCACTGCCCTCAATGGGTTTTCACTGCTGTAACCAATTTATTCTATAATTAGAGTTTAATAAACAATCTCTCTGATGATGTACAGGAAGGGAAATAATTCACCCTTCCTCTCTTGCACAGACTTCTCAGTGATAACAAGACTAAAATAGAGTAGAAAACACTACTTTTAACACTAGATCAAGTACATGTAATTGTGAATTCAGATAACCACTCTTAGGTATAGGGAGACCTTATTTGTATGCAGTGACTTCAAAGTAGGAAAAACACCTCAAATAAAACTACAGTACTAGCAACTATTGCTTTCCTTAACTGATGGAAGATTGTAACTAGCCAAAAACATACACTCTTTCAAAATAATTTTTAGAAACCCGGCAAAATAAACATATACTTTAATGCTTGTGAGATTTTTTGTGTCTCACCATGGAGCTCCATTTTGCCACCCTGCTACTTCCCAGCTGAACATCTGGACTACTCAAATATGTGGCATGGCACAGTAACTGCTAATTATCAAAAGGAGCAGCTTGAAAACTTCCTCTGATATTTTAAGAAATGACTTTTTACTAAAAATACAAGCCAGAGTATTGGGATTTATGTCAAGCTTATATGAGATTGTAGCAAGAGAATAATGTACACATTAGAAGTTACTGACAACTTTTTTTGGTGTATTTAATGCTAAGTGGCAAATTGCTCTGAACCAACAAATATTCACTAACTTCTCCAGACAAAGGACTTCATGCACTCCTCTCACAAAACCACAGTCTAGTAGACATTTTAGGAGAAGAAACTGTACTTACTTCTATAGCTTTGGATCATTTACGATCCAAACACCAGTGTAACCAATGCAAATATTTCTTTTGATTGCTGTGTATACACTGAAGTAGAGCACTGTCAGAGATGGTATAACCTAAACTGTACAAAGAAAACACAGGTGCCTAGCTAAGTACATTTAACACATGGGTACAAAATGCTTTGTGTTAAAGGGGAATTATAGTTTGAGAGTGCAGAATATAATGAAAAATGTTTTTACTATATGACATGAATAATTTATATATATATATATATACACACACACATATATATATAAATAAATTATGCAGAAGATCTCCTTTTGTCACAAAAAATTTAGGAAAGCAAGCTATTGCAATAATCTCCCTGGATACAGCCTTTAATTTATAACAAGGATTTGTTCAATGTACATTCTGAAGATTATAAAAAACCCACTACGTATTTTGAAGCGTGATCTTCTGATGATAAATGGAGATGACTGAGTCCATTCTCTACGCTACCATTAGGGCTTGTCTCCAAAAATACGACTGTGAATCAGCCTTCACACTTAGAATATTTGTTTCCATCTCATTTGTTTCCAGGCTTTCTGTTCATTTTGAGAAGCCTTGATGTCTTTTAAATAGAGAAAAAACAAAGGACTGCATGTTTTGAAGACTTGGAATAAATAGGAGGAATTCCTTGACATGTTTTCTCATATATTTCACGTTCCCAATGCTTTTAATATGAAATGGTTTATAACTAGAGCAGATTTGAAATGTTAATCATTAGCATATATACCAGGGTGTGCAAAAGAGCGAGGAAAATCCTGGAAAATATCTTAGCAACAACCTTGTTCTGATTTAGTGCTTATTTTACTCTTGACAATCCCTACTCTCCATTTTAATTCACATACTTTGATTAGTCTTTTGCTGTCATGATAGAAGACAGATATGAGGTTTAGAGTTACTAGTATTACAAGAGTCTTGTTCTTTTTATATCCATATATTCTTTCAATTGCTGAATAAATTTTTAATCTCCAAATCAGTATTTTGAAATTAATTTGAATTTATAAGTCAGCACTTTTTTCCCAGTACCTATTGACATGCCTGACAATATTTGTCTTGATTTAAATATGTCAGTGGAAAAAATAAAGCTAAAAAAAAAAAAAACCCAAAAAAAACCCCAAGCCAAAACAAAAATCCCAAAGCCCCCAGCCATTATCTGAAAAAGCTTCGTTTCCAAAGCTTTTATATTTTTGTTCAAAATCCCATCTGGGATAGAACTAACACACCGTGAGATGGATTAGTGTATCTGTGCTGTCTCTGTCTCTGCAGACAGGTGTTACAGATGTACAGTAACCCCAGGGCTTCTCTAGGAGCTCCGGTGCTTCTCTGTGCATGTGCATACCTCCCCTACTGGCACATGCCTGGCATGCCAGGGCTTTTCAAAAGGACTTCTATTCACTACATGTACACTACACAAATCATATATCTCAAACCCACGGAAGCCCTAGGCTCGTCCATTGTATTTCTGCTTGCAGTGGCACCTCTGGTCACTCTGCACCTTCATTCCTCTCTGCTCCTGTATGAAGCTGTCTTGGCAAACATTCCCCCATCAATGTGTTAAAAGAGTGGAACGGTAAAAAATGCACAAATTAACCATCCTGATAGCAAATTAACTAATGCAAATAAATGCAAATTCAATGCATTACCCTGGCATAGCATGCTAATGAGAAAACAAGTCATTTAGTCAATCAAGGAAATATGCAAATAAAAAACATCCTTTTCCAAAGTACTTTGACACAGAAGTCTAAAAGAAATTAAATACTACAACTGTACTTTGAGTATATAAATTACTATTTGTGTAGTTTGCAATAAGAACATTCTACCTTGTGCTTTTTTTCCTGTTCCACTTGGCAATAGCAATATAACAAAATGTATTTCCTATTTAAAAATACTGCTAAAATGCATTTTTCTCACTAATGTGATGTTTGAAGCTTAATGCTGAAAAAAAAGCCAAACAACTAAAATGTACTCAGCATACTGTTGAAAATTCAGCTTTATCTAATGTCAAATGGTACAACCAAGCAGTTTGTATTTCTTGAAAGACAATAAACAGCTCGCCCTTCTAAGATCTGCTGTTGCAAACAGCATTTGCCTTTCTCCATGTGTGCATCTGAGGACCAGTGTTACAGTCCAAGTGTCAGATAGCAAATTGCTATTGAAAATCTGCTGCCCCCAAGGAAATCATTGCATGGGTGTTTTTGTGGATTACAAGCACCTGTGATTAAACACAGCACACATAAAGAAGGGTCAGGGCCCAGTGAAAAGTACTGGTTGTCACCTGTAGTAATAAACAGGATCAAGAGATGTAATCAAAGTTCCATAATTAATTGCTGGAATACCAGCACTGACCAAATCAAGACACCAACATTGATAAATACCACTGTGCACAGTTGCTGTAAAGGAGAGATAAGAACAACACTAGATGCTATTCCTTTCTGAATAGTAAGTTTCAGGTTAGGAGCTGGAAGGTACCAAAAATTTCTTTGCTGCTTCCCTTGAACTTTTCAGTGTTATCTCCCAAGCTCCTTCTCTGAACAATTTAGGATACACTAATTACTTTGTAAAACATTTGAAAAGTAGACATCTGAATATTTTTCCACTGTTGTTAAATTGAATTCTACTTTTCTGCATCTGAAAAATCAGAAGCAAATACTTTTATGTCAAGGAAATGGACAAACAGCTTTCTGGCAAAGCTGATTCCTTCCCATTAGTCTAATGCATTATGGAAAATGGAGCAAAATTACAGCATGCTAAAATGTTATTCTGTAAAGTTCAATCAGCAGCTGTGACATGCTTAACCCAAACACTTTTCTATGACTATATTATAAAATTAATGGAAATGCAATTACTACTTTTTAAAGAAAATCACATACTTTCTTTTATATCTTGTATATTTCTAATATACAGTCACTCACTGGGCTCTTTTACATGGATGACTACCTTCTCAAGATCTATGTTGCTGTCTCCACAATACCAATGTCAAAATAAATGTCAGTTTCTCTATAGCTAATCTAGCAAAAGTAAGCTCAAAAGTGAACCCAGTGATGTAAAAGGGATATTCAGCAGAATAGAAGCCTAAATTTTCCTTCACTCCTACTCAAAGGACTTCATATTCTTTGCAAGTTCAACTTTCCAATTTTTATTATTACCTGGTATTTCCTAAGGGTTTGAACAAATGACCATTTCTAGCTATCTAGTACTTACCATTTAGCAGAAGGAATAGCAATCAAAATTTGCATTTGGAATTGTCTTATTTCATTTGCCTGAAACAACAGAGCTTGACTAAGCTTTCCACAGTCCAACACACATTTTGTCAGGTGAAATGAATATTTTGGGTTTTGATGGACAAATGGAAGAATGCTCAAAGACTGTGTTTATTAATATTTTTTTATTACTTGCCATCTCTAATCATGCTGTATCTGCAGCAGAACATTTCTTTCTCTTTTTTGGTACCAAGCACAACTAAAAGGGCAAGGGTCTCTCTTTAGGTAGAATACTTGAAGAATTGCGTGGCTTTACTCATTTTCCAAGGTCAAAAGAGAAATATAATGGAAAAAGTACAGTAATGCATTTTAAAGCTAGTAAAATTCTATAAAAAGGACCGTTAATTCATGGAGGGAAGGAGATGAACATGCTGTTCACCTGTAGCTCTGCAGTATAATTTTCATATCAAGTGTTAATGACAGGTAACCTCCCTAGAGATTTATTCATTCATTTTCTCCCAGGTACAGTGTATCAGCCGATGACTTTTCTGCACAGCCATGATGTGAATTGCAATTAATGCTAAGCAGCCAGGGGTTGTTTGTTAGATTATTAGAGCAAGTGAAGCTGAATGACTCACTCTATGCTCTTTACAGAAAGAAGACAAGCAAGACATATGTTTATGATAGACTACCTGGATGCCTATAGAGGAACGGCGACTCTTGAGGAACTCCTCTGCTTTTGTCACCAGGATGGCCTTGTCACTGGTCCGTATGGCGGTGCTCTGGCTCTCGGCCGCGTGGCGCTGGGCAGCCGCTGTCTCCAGGGCGAGGTTCATGGCCTTGTTGCTGTCCAAGCTGTCGGTGGAGTTGTACATCCCTCGCCCGTCCTGCGGCCACGGGGATATCCTCTGAGTCCGGCTGTCGTGATACGCATCCTGGGTGGATTCTGTGCTGCTCTGTGCCGTGACGGAGATCAGTGGCTTGGAAGTGGTGCGAGGGGGTACTGGTGGTGGTGTTTTCTTGTAACTTGTATAAGTTACAGCTATGGAAAGAATTGAAAGGAAAAAAAAGCAGAAAGAAAAAAAAAAAGGAAAGAGAGAAATCAAGATTAATTTGATGGAAACTTGACAATAGAAATCACCTTAAGATTGTGCTATTTAAAAATTATGATGGTGCAACGTAGCACTCTTCATCAACTTCACTATTATTTGAAAGTGTCACTCAGAGTCAGATGGCCATCCACAGAAACATTTTATTTCAACAAGGAAGAAGGAAGGGGTGGAAATGGGTGTCCCAAACTACAGTGAAGATGAAAGAGAGTTAGCAAGGATATGTGTGTTAAGATTTGTACTGGGTAAGTACACACTGAAGCTTCTGAGATTAAAGGATAAAGCTCATAAAAGGAATAAAAGAAGATTTTTTTCCCCCCTGTTCTTATTGTCTGAACTGTGAGCTTTGTGGTATGCCACACTACTTTATGGTATGCCACACTATAACATTTTAAAATCCTTCCAGGTACACTGGTTGGAATTAGGCAAGGTTGGCTACTTACTTGTGCAAGAAGCATGTATTTTAAACATTTTCTCAATACAGTTAATAAAAGGGAATTCAAGACATGTTAAAAATATTGTAATATATGCAAAGCTATTAAGACTTTGATGAGCAGAGCAGTTCTGAAGCTGGTTTAACACAGATTCTGTCATCCAGCATAAGGCTCAACAAAACATCCAAGAAAACTCTACAGATGCAGAACTGTGCCAATACTACATCCTTACAAAATTTAAAAAATTCATAGAGATTAATATTTAATAATTAATATCACAGAGATGAGTCTTCTAATTGTCTAAGCCCACTATACACTTTTTCACTTTTTTTTTTTTTTTTGGTACTAAGAGTATTTCTGCTGTGGAAGAGTATTTTCCCCAAAGCACATACAATCATAATTCATAAAATTAGCAACTGATAAAAAAATGCATTGTGGTATATCTTTCTTTATTCCTGTATGGAGAAACCAAGTCCAATTCAATTCTTGTACAGTTACAGGAGTAAGCTTGCCTTTGTCTGGTGATACTAATGGATTGACATTGAAACAGTTACTTAGGTAACCTTGGAATTTGGGTTACTTGAGTCCAAAAAAGGTTCTGTAAGTGTTGCTCTTCACATTACACAAGTATGGGCTGATGAGCAGTGAAGTCAGCCTCTCCAGCTGTGTTTTTTATATAAGGCTATGTTGCAGCCATCTGGAATTAAGACATTGGCTTAATTAACGCCTTGGACTGCTAAGCCTCTATCACCAGGCTAGCCTATGTGAACAGTGAGTCTAGAGAAATTGACTCTTAAATGTTGACTCTTGATAATCATACATTAAAGTGTTATCATACACAAAAGAGAGAAAGGCTGACATAGGAAAGAAAACCTTCATTTAAAGAACATTTTGAATTACTATTGATGTCGCTCAATTCTGGTGGAGATTCAGAGTCTTGATCTGAGCTAAATTGCTCTAACAGAGTGAAACATGTAAAATGTGTGAAACATGCTCTTCACAATCTGAGACTGTGCTTTTTTTGAAGTGCCATTTTGTTGTCCTATCACCAGTATTATCTCCTGTCAGTTTTGTGACCAGCAATTAAGAAAGAAAGAACTCAATATTTTTCAGATGCTTTAGGGAGTACAGAAAGTTCGCAGAAGAAGGGGGAGGCTGTAAATCTTGGAAATTAAGTCAGTGTCCAATGAACTCAAGCAGTGGATCTGAGGAATGTTTCCACTAAGAGAGTTGCCATAATGCTGCTCCCCCACTCTGCAAATTCAGATGCAAATGATCAACATGCTGGAAAACATTATAAATAGAGAAAATGGGGTGAAATAGGGTGAACAGTACAGGAAGCAAATTTTACCTGTAACATAAGGTAGGTTATCACTGTGATAACTACTTTAGTGTTTTTACATCTGTCTTCATGTAAAAGAATAGCAGTGAATAATGAAACATATGGTTAATGTGATAATGAAACATCACAAGCAGGTATAGCTCTACTACTTGAGCAGCAGATCACTTCTCTGTCTAATGAATATAAATGTTAAACTGCTTTTGCAACCCTTTTTAGCTGACTTAATCTTCATTTACATTTCTGAAAAAGAAAAATTTTTCCTGTGTCAAAACCAAAACAATTTCTTGCCTTTTTATCTTTTCCCCCTTTTTTCTCCCCCTAGGACTGAATCTTTTATTCTAAAAAGTCTGATTATTTCAGTGGAGTGACATGATTTAAAGCCACCAAGTATTAGAGTAACAGCAGTGCTCTGGCAAGCATTTGATTGCGAACACTATACAGAAATTAAAAATCCCACAGATGTTAAACAAAGAGAAGAAACTTCCAGTAGACTGGAAGTTTGTGAGAAACAGGCTACATGTTTACAGTGAAATATGGCAGGAAGAAATTCAATTAATTCCTATACAGTCACAGAGATCAAATATTGAGAAGGGAATAAAAAATCTCTACACTGTTAACGAGTTTGTATCTGGAATAACAGTTTCAGAGACAGAAATCTGGGACTAATTGGAGACTAACAAAATCAAGTAAGAGGACAGAGACCTGCATTTGACAGTCAAATCTTGCTACCAAATTCTATTTGCTTTAATCACTCGAGTGGTTCTAGTGAAGTAAATGGGATAACTTGGCACGTGTTGCTGACTTAAGGGACAGCTACATAACAGATTAGGGTCTTGTTAAAGGAGAAAGTAACACAGTAATCCACAGCTTACTGTTCATGCTTGGGTTTAGATCTCTAATAAATAAGTATTGCCTTAAGGTCTGAAGCATGAAACTTTATGTCACTTGCAAATTGTTTCCATTACCAATGGCATCAGGGAATAGTCCTGGTACCAACAATAACCCTTTTCTATTGTATCTAGTTCTTGGTCCTGGCAATCGTAAATGCAACATATTATATATGGGAAGAAACATTTCCTGCTCCTAATAGAAAATGAACTTTTTATTTATCATCTGCTTATGCTGATGGACAGGGGCTTCTGTCACCTTTGCACCATTCTCTACCCTGTACGTTTTATTTGCCTTAGTAGTTAGTCCAAAGCAAGCATATAAAACCTCCTCAGCACTGCTTCGTGTCTTCCCCATTTTTAGTGTTCATTCTGCAAGCTCCAGAGCTGTGGAGGACTTTGCTGGCCCCACAGAGAGGGCTGGTGCTGGGCAATGCAGTCCTGGGGTGCAGGGCGCTGACGGAGGACAGTGCCCCATAGCTCCACAGGGCACTGCTGATGAAAATTGAACTGGGAACGAGAAGACTGGGATGGAGAAGTCTTGTCTTCAGGGCAGACAAGCTGAGCATCAAGGCAGCACAACAGCAGGAGATGAGAGCCAGCATGAGGCAGGCCTGCGGTAGAGCACCAGGAGGGCAGAGCTGCTGCAGGATGGCTTCAGACAGATTTAAATTGTGCACTTAAACAGATGCCAGAGACCTGCTCCATGTTTGGACACAAAAGACGTCAATCCAGGATAATCTGCTGTTGTTTCTAGTGCTGACCAAAGATTTCTGAATTCTTTAATTTTCTGATTTCTTTAATTTTTTAGTGGCTTTAATGTGTATATCCTGAATATTCCTGGTATTTCTCTCACCAGTCCTGCTGCTGAGCAATGAGGCTCAAGCAAAGTAAAAGCAACAGGCCTCTGCAATGCTGTTAATCAGTATGCAAAATCTATAGCTGCTCTGAAATGCAAAGAAAAAAGAAAGTAGATGGCACAATACATAAATATGTCTTTTTATAAATAAACTAGAAAAAGAAACTAAAATTTTCTTTCTGGATGTATTCAAAGGCTATCTTGATATAAAAAGCAGAATTTATTTTTTGCCTAATTTGATAAAGTGGGAAAAATATTTTTTAAATTCTGAACATACGTTTTGTCTCCCTCTGTTAGCTTATAATAATTAATCAAAAATTACAAAAATGGTGACAAACTGTTCAAATTCTAAACGATATGGGTATTTCAGACTCCTATTTGAATCAAAGTATTAAGTGCTTAGGTACTTGCCCCACTTCAACATAAATATGTTCAAATATAGATCCACTAGATTCATATGTTCAATATGATCCACTAGATTTTCCTTTAAGGAAGGGCATTTAGAAAAATGGAGAGAAAACAAAATGGTTCTGTGCTGCTTTGTAGTGGGCCAGAATAAACAATGATGCAAACCACTTATAAATTGTTCAGGAGAAATGAGAAAGTAACAACGCAGCATAACATCACCCAGTCAGGAAAAAGTGTAAAACATCAAATTAGTTTTGAAAGGATTGATATCTGAAGTGTCAGACCTTCACATGCACAAGATTGCCTACCAGTGCTGAATTTGGCACAGAGGTGGCTAGGAAGGACCTGTTCTGTAAACCACATTAATTTTTTATGTGCTCTGTGATGCCAGCCATGCAGCATCGGTCATAACCAGAATAACAGGCACTATGGCAATACTGCAGAGTAGCCAGGAAGATGATTCCAGCACTGAAGAACTGGCAATTTGGTGGTGTGGATACACACAGTAGAAATACAAGGAAGATTTCCTGATAATTCATAAGCAACAGTTTAACTGATATAGCTGGAAGCAGAATATCCTCTTAATCTACACTGTATTTGTCTAAACTTGCTAAAAGTTACTGTTGATGCAGCCATAGAAGTCAGTTATTCAGGCCATATTTCAGTGTCAGCAGAGTTTATACTAGAAATAAAATTACTAAAATAAGTAAATTTAGATATAACTTCAGGTTAGCCATAGACCTTCACAGACACAAGGCATTAGGAGAAATGTGATCTATTTGATGAAATAGCAGTGGCTGTGGGTGACATTTAGAACACCTTTCAAAAGGCAGCCTTTTAATAAATCACCACTTTTGGTCCATTTGCAGGACAGAATCACCTGAGGGGTTTTTACAAATCAATATAACCATTAAGCACTTAGTCAAAATAACATTATTTAGGCTGAGATCACAAAGTTAGCTGGGTGATGAATTTAAATGAAAGCACCATCAATTAGAGGAAA